TCTAGTGTGGGTTGTGAGTTTCTGTTTTTCGACCGTGAGATGGGCCACAGTGCGCTAACGCTGTCTGCTCTCTTGGAGGGGTCTGCGTCTGCCGCAGGCTCGATGCTCGCCTTTCGCAGCGCGCCGCCGAATGGTCTCCGCCGCACGGCAGTTCGGCTCGCCTGACCATGGGGCGCCGCCACGAGGGTGCGCGGGTCGGCGAGAGTCGGCCGCTGGTGTGGAACGTAGGCCAGAAGTACGCGTGAGGCTTCAGGGCCTTCCGGGTTCATTCCCTCTACTACAGCGGTGTGTGTGTGTGTGGTGTGCAGCGTGGCGTGCGTGCGTGCGTGCGTGCGTGCGTGCGGTTCGCTTCGTTTCGTGCGTGCTGTAGCGTTTTTTTGTTTATGTGTGTGTGGCGTGGTGCGGTGTGGTTGTGTTTATGTTGTGTGCGGTTCGTGCATGCGTGCGTGGTGATGTGTGCGTGCGTTTGCGGTTTGGGTGTGTGTGTGCGCATGCTTGTATGGCGTGTGTGCGCAATACGCCGCCATCGATCAACATGTCGGTCAGATCGATTCTTTATGATTAATGATAGTTCTCGTTTCAAGTTTAAATTGTTCAAACGCGTTTCAAAGTTGTAGATTGCACCTTTCAAAGTTTCTTCATGCAATAATGTGTAATGATATCGATCTTATGTCTTTCCTATGGCTGTTTGGCCTCCGTCCATTTTAGCCATCTTCCATTCTCTTGCCGTTCACCTGTCCGTCTGTTCGTCATATCCATTCCAGGTTATCCATCATCCAATCGATTCATCCACCGCGTGCGTGGTCATCGTCTGGTCGTACTGTAGTAATGTGATTTTAGAGACGTTTTTACCTTTTCTTGAGGTGTTGAGATTCTAGCATCACAACTCGATTGCAGAACTCCTGAGAGTCACCTCATACTTTCGATACTCCTGGATAATTAATGTTTGTTTGCCGCGGAGTGGCATGCAACCGTGAAACATACCCACCTTCATCGACCACACCTCGCGAAGGCGACGCGCGGCGGTGCATCTATACTGGAGGCTGGCGTACTGTTCGCATGGGCAGCCGGCGGCGGGGGGCGGGGGGCGGAGTTAGCGCGGCTGGGTGAGAGCGGCGATGTCACCAAGGGGACATGTGCCATCTCACTCCAGCAAGGAAACGTGAGCGTACCAGGCGGCGCCATGTCTCTCTACGCTGCAATGTAGTGTGGCGCCTCTGTATTTAAAGTTCGTGATTATTTTCCATATCTAGTTTGATAGTAATTATTGAGTCATCATATTTAATTAGTTTATTTAGTCAAAACGTTTTGTTAATCGTTTTTATGTAGGTCTTATTTGACTAGTTAATTCATTTTGTATTTCCAGATTATGCGCTTTCAAAGCATCGTGATTATGATCTTGTGTGGTTCGAGCTACCTCCTCGCGAAAGATTAATGTACACATTCGCGATCGTGTGTGAGATTTCCGAGTGTCTCGTGTCGATTTGGAGCGTTTTCTGCCGCCAGGTGGCACTTGGTCCTGTACTCGGTGGACGTCGAACAAAATGCAAGGCGGCGATTGGGTTGTGCGTCCATGCTGTCGATGTCGGGACGGTGACGCCGGTGGCCTCGCTGCGCAGACGACTTTCTGTTTTCCCTGGAAAGGTGGCGTCTCTATAGTCTGTGTCCACCCGCAGCGATGAGTCTAGAGGTGGTTTGCTTCGTTAGTTTGTGTTAGGTATTTCCTAACTAATGATCTGAAATTAGTATCAGAGTTTGAGATCGTTGTATTTATAGTGTTCTTATTATATCAGTTTATGCATTATTAGTATATATTTAGTTATATTCTCGAGTCATGTTCCAGTTTATCTCTATTCTCGTTGACGCACTAGTTAGTTCTAATAGTTAATACATTGATTGCCACACAAAACATTTACTTCAATCTATTGACTACATGTATGCTCACACTCATTAATTACAACACTTGATTTATCTTAAGAGACTGAGTTTTGGGACAGTTACACAAGTTGAATGTGAGCATTTCCAAATCTAAGAGTGAACTCTCGTTGCAGGAAGTATCTTACTGGGCCTGAATCTGAACGCATATGGGTGACTGCGTCTGAGATAACAACAACGTGCTTCCGCCGGGACCTCATGTATGATTACCTTTCTTACAGGAGTTTTGCGCCGATGCCAGAGCGAGCTATCGGCTTGCCTCCTGGAAAGCAAACTTGGCGGCCACCGCTCACCGCTGCCGTGGTGAGTCTCGCACTCGAGCTGGGGCCGCTGGTGCGATGGACAGCGGGTTACCACGGGACGTTGAGGGTAGGGTACTTCCCGGTTGTCGGCGGGCAACGCGGGCATCGCTCGCCGCGTTGACTCACTCTCTTTGCACGTTGCCGGCGGAGTGCCATTGCAGCGGTTGCACGGATACGTGCGTTGCATGGCGGTGTACCGTCGTCTCCTCGTGGCTCCGCCGTGATGCTTTTCATGGCAGTGTTCCTTATTAGTTATTATTTTTTATTTAGGTATGTTCAGGTTACATTTTTATTGGTTATTGTTTAGTTTCTTACCATGGTTGGTTATTAGTCACTTGAACTCGTAAGCTTGAGCTATTGCCATGGCTGTCGTCGTAGCGTCGAGCCGTAAACATTTGGAGCTCAGAGTCAATGATACTCAGAACCGTGATATGACCCACTGTGTTGAAATGGGTATAAGTTGCTTACTGCTATGTTCCATAGAGTTGGCGTCTATTATTGGGAGGCGGCCAGTCGACGTACTTTTCGAGTCATGGAATTTTTTGGCCAAAAGATGGGCGATTGCCTTAGTCGTTCGTTCATTGGTTTTGCCATTTTTGGTATGTGATGCATAAGGGCTGGTGGTTTGTGATATTTTAAAAAATGAATGGCAATTAGGAAGGTCTTTGGCAATTATTATGCATATTTATGTTAAGACCGCGTAACAGTCTGTGGTGCACCTCATTCGTTGGTTCGTTTTAAAGTTTTCATTGACAATATCTTTAAGCATTGGTTATGTCTTCTCACCTGCGATAAAACGGTCTTATTCGAGTAAGTTTACCAATGTCGGAATGCCGCATAACCTATTTATCTCGACGGCCATCGCCTAGACGACATAAAGCGGGGTTAGCGCATTACCGTTCACAGTTGTGATTCTTTGCGTTTAATTTATTTTGCGATATACAGATGCAAACCGTGTGCTACACCCTAGAGAAAAACTCATTAGCGAGGTAACACTTCATGCCACATTACCTTTGACAAGTTGTGTTATGGGCGGGAAACACATTGTCACGTGGGTATTGCGCTCCGTGGATAAGCGTTCTCGAGGTATATATAGCGATATTATAGAAACGTTAAATGGTGATAGTTAGGTGTAACGCTCACTCACCCACTCTTCGCTTTCCTGCTCACATTTATTTACATGAAAATTACACATATATCTTCAAGAGTTCGTTTCTATATGTACGCGATGGTTGGCTCAATTGAAACTGACTTCTTTCACTATCATTGTGTCTTTTTTGTGGTGGCAGTGTTTGCATTGACTTTCATTATTTATTAATGTTGTTATGGGAGAAATTATTTTGTTATTGTTGCTAATAAATTTTGTTTTATAATTTATATTATTTGTCGATTATGGGTAATATTTTTTGTGTCTCGTGTGTGTGTATTGAAGGAGGGACAGCTGTGTCGTGGTTGTCGGCGCATGCGCCTCTATACCGACGTGCGAGCGGACGGCCGCTTCGCGCTGAGTTTCGTTGAGGAGGTCTGTTCTCGCGATTTCTACCAGTCGCGTCTACGGAACCTAGCAGAGCGCAGACAGGCGGGTGCGTTAAGCAGAGGTGTGTGAGCAACTCGCCACGCTACCGGAACTCGAACCCGGATACGCGGCTCGCGGATAATATAGGATAGTATGTATGTATAAAGCCTGCGTGTATCCTGCAATAATGTTCGTATATATTATAAATTTATTATATAAATATTATATATTTATAAATGTTAAATTGCTGTCATACAAGTCTCGAATGTATTCAGCCGGGATCAATGTATCATACAAAGTCTGGACGTTAAATTCAAAATTGTGCACATAGAGTCCTGGAGTTAAATCGAGCAGACGTATATGTTATCTTTAATGGCTGTATATTTAAGCCAGATTGATTAGTAAGTTGTTGTATTATCAGTCTTATAAGATATGTATAGGTAATCTTTTATATATTATTGCTAGATTTATAGGGTCTCTCATATGTTATATTGTAGCTGGGCACGTGGTTGATATAAAGGATACTGGTGAGGGTTGACTGATAGGGGGCAGGCAGAAGGTATTACGTGGCGTGTCGTTATTTCAGCGATGCGTGGTGTCACGTGAATGCGTCATAGGCTGGGGGGTACAAGGGCACTTGCAGTGCAGAGACCTGGTGGCCGTCGTGCCTACGGCGGCGGGTCTCAGCGTTGCTCGTGGCGCCTTTGTTTATGAGTGATGCAAGTGGGTGCGGAGCGAGATTGCTCTGTGTTGTTGTGTTGTTTGATCGTTTGTTTGTTCAGAGACGACTGCCTGCGGGTACAGACCTGCTGGGGTTATATCTGGGATTACGTGTGTATTTGCGGTGGGCGGTAGTGTTTCGCACGAGCAGTGACAGGCGTAGTTTCTGTATTCTACACTTCATGTAACACTCATACTTACATATGATAAATCATCATAAAGACAGGATTAAAAGTAGGTGCGGATGAAATTGAGAACTTTCTCCTTTACTTTCCGGTAGTTTCCTGCAGTCATTACGACCAAAATTACCTACCTGTAATACCCGTATGGAATAGTACCGTAGTTGTAATATATATATATATGAATAACACTTTGTAGTCAGAAGGCACAAGCGACAGATTAAAATGGGGGGAACGATGAAATGAATTGAAGTTCGGCGTGTGGGTGAGAATTCGTGTGAATTGTAGGCGAAAACAGCCCAGGTAGGACATCCACTTGTGAAGGTTTGCTGGAGGTCGATCATCCATCTTGTCCTATTCCCTCGCGACTGCTTTCTAGTCCAGACGGGGGTTTTTTTCCGCCGGTTAGACTGGATTGCGGAGGAGCGTCTCGCTGACATAGGGCGCTGTGCGGGCGCTGTGGCTGCGGCCGGTCGGCGGGCCGTGGTGATCTCGTGGCGGCGGCGTGTGTGCGAGTGGTGGAAGCTGCGTCGGCCATTGGTCGGGCCTCCGCTGGTGACGGTGACACGATGGGCCAGTCCGCGATACTCATAGGTTACTTGATGAGCGCAGCACTTGCGAGCGTCGGTGAGTGTTATGTCCGCACGCACGCACGCGTACCACTCGCTACTACTCCTAATTACTTGTTCTCGATTGCTAGAGTTAACAGTCGTTGAACACCGTTACCAGTCGGTGGACGCCGTTGCACTTTTATCTGTCGCTCGCGAGCAAAATTTTTAATGATTTTGATTGCAATGGCTTCTATTTAAATGTTACGATCTATAATGGACGATTGACGGGAGTATTGCGCGGGGGACGTTACTTCAATCAGTGTTAAGGTTACCATAGCTATTATTTTTTATTGATTTGTTTATATTTATTTCATGGGGCTTTATTTACATGAGTCAGTTGATAATGTGGACATGGTGACGAGTAACAGGTCACATGAGTACACATGGCTTTATATTGCCAATAGTGCTATTTATTTAATAATAGCTTAATAACAGTCAGAAAAAAAATAAAAAAAGAATGAAAAAATCAAAATATTATTAAACTCTCAATTTGTTCATCGCTTAAGTTTTAACAGCATCGATTGTTAGCTGGCGCACATTGCGAACATTTTCCCGAACAAGGTTTTTGGTCTGGGCAAGGTGCGGGTGGGACAATTGCTGAGCGCACTTGCAAAATTTTGAGCGAACAATCTCTTGGCACGTTCTAGTAGCTATGTTGTAAAGAGTCCGTGATTCAGCGCGATGTTGGGCAAAAGATATGTGGACAATATGGTGCGCTATTGGTTATACTTTACAATGTTTCCTGAATTGTTCGAATGGGGCAGGCGCACGATTGACGAACGTTCGAGAACAATGTTCGAGTTATCAAACATTTCGTCTTCGAGAACATTGTTCGGAGGAAAATGTTCGGCACTTTTTTCACCGCACGATTGCGACTTTATGGAAATTTGCTACGCTAATGTTTGTTGGCAAATTGTTCGGGGCAATGGGCGGGCTTAAGCTTGGGTGTAACGGTGGGGGCAGGCAGTGGATCTTGCATCCCGTGAGCGGTCTAGGTCCTGTCTCTTCACATTCTTAGTTCTTCCACTGTCGCACCCACCATTGAGTGGTCAGTACGTATGCGGGATGTTCGTGTGTTCCGCGCGCGCTGCGGGGGCGGCGGAACGAGACGGTGCACACTTTGCGGATCTAACTGCCTGCTTAAAAGTGGACTATCGACGCCTGCTGTCACGCTACAGGTGAGTGGGCTCTAGGCTTGCGAGGTACAGGTTGACATGTGGTTCATCTGTGTGGTAGTGTTACGATGGTTAGTCAGTGGAGTAGATGGTGTTGTTTTAGCCTTGTCTAGCTTAGACAGAGCGTCGTCAACAAGATGCGCGGCGTCGTGAGATGTTTAGGGGAGAATGGATAAGAGCGGTGTATGGGGGTTGGAGTGTAGAGGGGTCATTTGAAATGGGGGTAGGCGGTAGTCTGTGAGACGGTCAGCGGCGGGTGGATGTGGTTTGTAGGGTTGGGGGTTTAGAGAGAGATGTAAGGGTTAGAAGGGGAGGTCTGGTTCTGTGGTCGGGCGAGGAGGCCGCATTGCGTGCGCGGGGTCTTTGTCTGGTGTGTAAGGGATGTGATGTGTGTAAGATAGTTAAAGGTTTACGTTTACCCCAAGTTGCTATTCTGGATTTGGATCTACTTCATCATTTCTACGTGAACGCTCATTCCTGTTTACATTTTTGGTGCCGTGACCAGGATCCCCTTCCTACATCTCTGCCCTATCTATTACCCCCCAAAATGCAACCAAAATGCAACCAAAATGTAAACAGGAATGATGATATAAAGCCAAACTTGTTGTAGTAACCGGAATAATCTTTAATATCTTACACACATCACATCTCCTTACACACAGACAAAGACCCGCGCACACGCGCGGTTGCGCGTGCGCGTACTCTCGCGACCAGAACCAGCATCTCTCTCCCCTTACATCTCTCTCTATATATTCCCCAAAACTCCTACAAACCACATGTACCCGTTCTCACAGACTACGTCCTACCTCCCATTTCACAATGACCCTCTAATCTGTCTAACCCAACCACGTCTACGATTCTCCCTAATACATCAACGTAGCCACGCATCTTGTTGAGCGACGCTCTGTCTAGCTAGACTATGGCTAAAACAACTACCAGTCTAGCTCCACTGACTACTTCATGTAACACGTACAAAACAGATGTTACAGTATATATATATATATATTTATGTGCCTTAATTCGAAAGTGTTGCATCGACACAAATGCAAGTTTTGAAAAAAAGTTTTTAGGTAGTAGTTTAGTTATTATTGGACTATCAGGATCACACACAGCTATGTTAACTGATCTAGGATGCGGTTGCTAATGGCAACGGTGCTTGCTGTGTTGTTCTGCAGGCTCGTGATCGCAGCGCGGTCGTCTGCTGCCGGCCTGGGGCTCTTGATGCGTTTCGCCCGCCGGTGACGTGGACCGAGGCTTCCTGCAGGCAGTACCGAGCAGACGCCGTCACCCTGAACGACACGGTCGCCACGGCAACGCAGACGCACCGCGAGGAGCGTGTCGACGCGAGCGCACTGCAGCCGGCGCCCCCTGGCAGCACAGCCAGGAAGGTCGACGTAACGTTCCGCGACAAGGATCCGCTGCGGACGGTCGCCATGACGACGCGCGACCGGCTCGCCGCGCGTCTGTCGAGCGAGAAGAGCGAATCGGACGCCTTCGAGAAATACCTCGCGTCGGCGCTCAACGCGAGCGCAGAGGGCGCCGGCATCGCGTCGCCCGACTACGGCGCGGAGACGCCTCCTGGTGGCGGGGAGGTGAAGCGATCGTCGTCGTCTGCTCTCGCGACGCCAGCGCGGGGCAAGTCGCCTCGTCTGTCCTCCTCGGGAGCGGACGCGTCTCCGCGCGATGCTGCCGCGCGTGGCGCCATCTATGGTGGTGACCTGAACAGCAGCATCGGCGAGCTGCGGGAGAGCGTGATCCTGAGCAAGGCGGAGAGCGTGCGGGACGAGCTGAAGCTGAGGATGCTGCTGTGAGCTGCGGGACGAGCTAAAAGTTTGTAGATTGCACCCTTTCAAAGATTTCTCATGCAATAAATGTGTAATATATCGATCTGTCTTTTCCTCTGGCTGTTTGGCCCTCCGTCCATCTATCCATCTATCCATTCATCCTTCCGTTCACCTGTCCGTCTGTTCGTCAATCCATCCATTTATCCATCCATCCATCGATTCCATCCACCCGTCCGTTGGTCCATCCGTCTGTCGTACTGTCGTACATGTTGACTTTTAGAGACTTTTTTTTTACCTTTTTTGAGGTTTTTAGAATTCTAGAATCACAACATCGATTAGCAAGAACTACCTGAGAGTCACTCCAATACTTTCGATACTCCTGGGAATAATTAATGTTTGTTTGCGCAGGAGTTGGCATGGAAACCGTTGAACATACCACACCTCATCGCACCACACCTCACGAAGCGACGCCGCGCCGGCTGCATCTACTACTGGAAGGTGGCGCTACTGTCGCATGGCGCAGCCGGCGGCGGGGGGCGGCGGGCGGAGTTAGCGCGGTGGGTGAGAGCGCGATTCACCAAGGGACATGTGCCATCTCACCTCCAGCAAGAAAACGTGAGCGTCAACCAGGGGGCGCCAATGTCTCTCTACGCTGCAATGTAGTGTGGCTCCTGTATCTAAATTCGTGATTAATTTTCACAATATCTAGTTGATAGTAAATTAATTGATCATTCAATATTTAATTAGTTTATTTAGTCAAAACGTTTATTTAATCGTATTTTATTAGTCTTATTTACTAGTTAATTCATTTTGTTTTCCAGATTATGCACCTTTCAAAAGCATCGTGATTATGATCTTTGTTTTGTTCGAGCTACCCTCCTCCGAAAAGATTAAATACACATTCCGACGTGTGTAGATTTCCGATGTGTCTCGTGTCATTGGAGCGTATTTCCTGCCGCCAGGTGGCGACATTGAGCCTGTACTCGGTGGACGTCGAACAAATGCAGGCGGCGATTGGAGTTTGCGTCACAGCTGTCGATGTCGACGGTGACGACCCCGGTGACCTCGCTGGCAGCAGACGACTTCTCGGGACAAGTGGCGTCCTCTATAGTCTGTGTCCACCGCGCAACGATGAGGTCATAGAGGTGAGTTTGTTCGTTAGTTTTTTTAACGCGTATTTTCCAACAACTCGTAATGTAATCATTGATCGTTATAATATTGTTATTAATATCGTTTATGATTATTAATATCATGTATATAATTCATCAGTCATGTATCACTTATCTCTTTCTCTTGACCACTAGTTAGTTCTCAAAGTTAATACAAAATTATTGCAACAAAAACATTTTATACTACAAAATTGACTACAATTAATGCTCACAACTCAAAATTAATTACACACTTGATTTATCAAAATTAAGCAAGACTGAGTTTGACAGTTACACAAAGTTGAATGTGAACATTTCACAACATCAAAGGGTTAACAGGTTAACTATGTTGCAGGAAGTTCTTACTGACTGACGTCTAAACAGCATATGGTGACTTTACTGAGAACAAACAACGTGCCTACGTAACTCATGTATGAATTACACTTTCTCTCACAGGAATTTTGGCACGATGCCAGAGCGAAACTTCGCTTGCTCCTGGAAAGCAAACCTTGCAAGCCACGCGTCCCCCTGGTGGTGATGCTGCTCGACTGGCCGCTGGTGGATGGACGCGTTCCCACCGAGGACGTTGAGGAGGGACTGCGGTTGCCCGGGGCAACGGGCAACGCGACGACGTGCGCACACCACGTCTTTAACGTTGCCGGCGACGTGCAGCAGCCGGTTGCCACGGATACGGTGCGTTGCCGCGGTTACCCGCTCGTCATCCTCCTGCTCCCGTGATGCTTTACAATAGCCGTGTTCCCTTCTTTTTATTTAATTATTATTATTATTATTAGGTATTGTTCATTTACAATTTTTATTTTATTTTGGTTATTACGTTTGTTATTAGCTCACCTTGACATCGTCAAGCTGAGCTATTGCCATGGGTCGTCGTCCGTCGTACGTCCGGCCGTCAACATTCGGCTACGGTCAACGATAACTCAGGAACCGTTTGACCCACATGTTTGAAATTTGGTATAGTTGTTACTGAACGTCCTATTTCGAGCCACTGCAAGTTTTTTTTGCAAATATGGGAATTGCCATTAGTCAGTTCAGGTTCAACGGATTTTGCTCATTTTTGGTATGTGAATGCATAAGGGCTAGGGGTTTTGATATTTAAAAAAAAATTATGCAAATTAGGTAGGTTTTGGCAATTATATAGCATATTATGTTATAGACATGCAGATAACAGTCTGTGGTGTCACACTCGTCTGGTTTGTTTTACAAGATTTCATTGACAATATCTTTAATGCAAATTGGTATTTCCTCTCCACCCTGCCGATAAAACGTTAGAGTAAAGTTTACAAAACATGTCGGAATGCAGCATACCTATTTATTTCGAACGCCATCGCTACAAAGCGGTGTAGCGCCACCTACAGTCATAAATTGTGATTCATTTGGTTTATAAATTATTATTGCGATATACAGATGCCAACCGTGTGCTACCACCTAGAAAAACTCATACGAAGTAAACACTTCCATGCAGCCAATTAACCTTTGACAAAAGTTGTGTTATGGGCAGGGAAACACCATTGTCACGTGGTATATAGCAGCTACGTGGAATAAGCGTATCCTCTCAATCTTACACGTTACACATCGGGAGCTCCGCTTTAGGCAGTGCCTAAATCTGAATATTATAAAAACGTTAAATGGTGATCATTTAGGTGTAACGCAACCACTCCGCCACATCTCAGACTTTCACATCTCAAACATTTATTTTCACATAAAAAATTACACATATAATTATCAAGAGTATCGTTTCTATAATGTAGGTCGATGGTGCTCCAATTAAAAACTGACTTCTTCTCAGCTCACTCATTTGTGTCCTTTTTTGTGGTGAGCTACAGTGTCATTGACACTTTCATTCATTATATTAATTGTTGTTATGATAAATTATTATTGTTATTGTTGTAATAAATTCTTGTATTATAAATAATTATAATTATTTATCATATGGTAATTTTTTTCTGTGTCTCATGATAACAGATGGAGACAGCTGTGTCGTGGTTGTCAGCGCATGCGCCCTCTATACCCGACCTCGAGCGACGACCGCTCGCTGAGTTCGTTGAGGAAGGTCTCTCGCGACATTTCTACCAGCCGGTCTACGAGAACCTAGCAGAGCGCAGGCAGGCCGGTCTGTTACAGCAGGTGTGTGTGAAGCAACTCCCACGCTACACGGAAACTACGCGGATACGCGACTACGCGGATAATATAGATAGATAATATATGCTATAAAGCCTGCAGTGTATCCTGAAATAAATGTTCAATATATATTATAAAAATTTATTATATAAAAATATTATATAAAATTATATAAATGTTAAAAATATCACTGTACCAATATAAAGTCCTCGAATGTTAAATTCAATATATCATTGCACCAATACAAAGTCCTAGAATGTTAAATTCAACATATCAATGTATCAATACAAAGTCCTGGAACGTTAAATTCAACATATCGTTGCACCAATACAAAGTCCTAGAATGTTAAATTCAACATATCGTTGCACCAATAGAAAGTCCTAGAATGTTAAATCGAAGCAGACGTTATAGTTATCTCTAAATGGCCGTAATACGTAAGCAGAATTAGATTATACAAATTGTTGTATTATCAGATCTTATAACATATTATAGGTAATCTTTATATATTATTTGCTAGATCTTATAAGATCTCATCATATGTTATATTGTAAGCTGTCACTCTTGATATAAGGACATACGTGAAGGTAGACTGTGGGGCAGTAACAGT